AACATAACCCGTCAATAACAATCCCGAAAGATGAATACATAAACCTGCCAGATTTTCGCATAATTTCGTTTGCTGTCACAGTTTCGTTGGAAAATCATAACAAATCGTACAGTTATCCAAATTGTCCAAATAATACATCAAATGAAACCTGGAATTTTAATCTACAAGTTTCATGAAGACACACAGCCTAAATTCTGACCCGAACATATCGAAAACAGTCCCGCAAGAAGGTACTCAAAACTGCCCTGTTTCCGGCAGATTACTGTCATCGGATTCGGACCTCTAAAACATGCATATTACATACTCTAATTCGATACAATTGAACACTTACTTATAGTTTACGATGTCCTCTACGAGTTTCCTGAAGGAACCGATTCGAAATTCGGATTCGAAACCCTTCGATTTCGGCTCCGAAAACAGGTGCGGCAGCAGAATTTGCTTCCCTTCGTTTCAACGAGCGAGCTGAAGTTCTAGCCAATTCCGATGACCACCGCTGATGTAAACAATCAAGAACCACCACCACTGGAAATCTAACTTATTAAGGTTTCGAACGGTACCTTCGGATCATCGATGCTCCAACTTTAAGACCTCCGTTTAATTGATTTACGGAAAAGGCAAAACTCTGAAATTGAAATTCTGGACAGCTCGTCTTCTTTGTCGGATTCCAGCCACCACCGCCGGCGACTGCTGCTGGAGACCACCACCACTATAAATCCGACTTTTTTTTCTTCAATTAACTTCCATGATTTCAGCCAAGGATCGAGAGAGAGAGGAAGAGAGAGATGATGAGAGAGAGCGAGAGAGAGAAAGGAGTTTGGAGAAGAGGAGTGAAGTGTAGGAAGAATCGGATGAAGATGAAGAGGAAGTCTGACTCATCTTTTATTCTACGTGTCTCTCTCTCTAATTTTCTTGGTTAATAACATTCAATTATCCGATTACACAAGCCCCTCAATTGCTTAATGGCCAAGTTACTAAATTATAGAATTATTATTATGCTTATGCCCCAAAATTATTACATAATAACACATCAGCCCCCAATTCCCATTATAAAGTACAATAAACTCTCACATAATTTACTCGGTGTTACAATCTCCCCTCCTTAAAGGAATCTGGTCCCCAGATTCTCAACTATTATTCGAACATGGAAATACAATTTCCTAAAATTATCTTCTTGCTCATCCATCGCTTCGTTAGCTTCGTGGTTTCTCCATAATACCTTCAAGTCTTGTGATTGAGGAATTCGTTATCAAGAGGAATACGGTTATGCGGGTAGTCTATAGGAGGTTGGTTCCGAAATAGGGATCAATCCCTATTTATATGATAAGTTATTCTCAAGCTACGGTTGCTTCAAGGAAGAATATCTGAGTTTGATCGAAATAGTGTTAACTTAGTCCTTCAAACCTCTACGAATTATTTCCATGACAATCTGTATCTCCCCAAACTTAGAATTGACTTGGATAACGAGTCAAACTATTATCGTAATGAATTCAAAAATACTACTTCAACTTAAATCTGAGGTAGTACTAGGAAGTACTGCTTGTGGAACCTTAATATCAACGGCTTTATTAGAAATATTATCCAATTCATCGGTCTCATACTCGATGTAGCCTTACCGTTGAGCAAGATGCTGAATATTTATAGCGTTCTAGAAGTTGAAGGCCGAGATACGGTTCGTCAACCAATTAATGGGACTTGTGACGTACGTCAACTATGAGGAAATAATCGAGTTAGGGTTGTAGCTAGGAGTCCTACAAATGGTCTGATGAGAGGAATGAAAGGGATTAATAAGGGTCTCATATCGTTCGAATCTTTAAATCTCTCCCTAGTTATCCGTGTCACATTCTTCAAGAGAACGTGTTTCTTCTCCTCCGTTTCGGTCGAATCTTTGTGGTAATTAGAATTATTTATCTAGCTCCACATATGTATAACTCTTTTGACAATCTTGTGCAGGCTTTGATCTTAATTTGATAAGCCCAACTTTACCGCTAGCATCTGGTATCAATCTCCAAGCCCTAACCTTTGCCGTCGTTAGTTGTTCGTCGTTCATCTGTCTTGAAACGCAAGCTCGATTGATACTTCATTCCACGAACTACTGCGAAGCTGTTTGTATTGCCGCTCGCTTGATAGCTGTCCCAAGTCATCACGATAATTCACGTTGTACGTCCTCAATGTGTTCAGTCACCCGCTCAAACGATAAGTTAATTTCCGAACGTTTCTCGTTCTGAGCTGAAATTTTGTCCCATATTGCGGATAGCTGCTTTCATAACAACGAGATGTCTTATAATCTATATAGAAATAATGTGAGTTAGCTAAAAGAGATAGATTTCGGATCTAAATTATCTTCAGCAGACAAAGAGGCAACTACTTTCCCGGTCCACAAAAATTCTCTATTCATTGGTCTACATAAAGTGGAATTGAATGCACCACAATTGCAATCAAAGAGGACGGCGAAGCCTGATTTACTTATGGTATCGACATTGGACACTAGAAGAGCTTGATTATAGATGGCATTCGCAAGGAAAAGGTTTTCGAACAGTAGATCGACCAGGCAACGGTTGATGGAAGAGAGCTTTAGCTTCTAAAATCAAGAGTAATCGAAAATGGCAACGGTTGATACAATCTTCCCATGGTTTCACAACCGCATACCTAATAAATACTTATCGTAGAGAAGTCAGGACTCAGAATATCCGACAATTGAGTAGCCTTAATTCATTGAATTCACTACTATTTCAACATAGGTGAACTAGTCCAATGCCATTCTTCGACACTAAGCACGCTCTAATCACGTACGAAACATTATACGCACTATATCTATTAATGCCGATAGTGAATTACTTCAACCAAACTACATGACGGGCAAAGCTTATTTATAGCAAGTTGATCATCAAGGACAAATTCTTGTAGTTCTTCGTCCACATCTTACAAAGAGAAGTGCAATCCTCTACGGTGTTATTGACATAGGTGTTGTACTCTAAACACCTTCTCTACATAGCACTTAGCTCTTGATATTAACTTATCAACCAAATAGAATTGCAAAAAACTGATAATCCAATGTCAAGATATAGCTGACTTATCGGATACTAGGGACTCTAGAGGTGGCTCATGCAAGATTAAGAGGTGGCTCCCGTTGGGTAGCACTTTGCCCTGCATAGCACTTAGCTCCTTATACCCTGACGGTTAGAATCAAGAATTCAAACCGCTCAAGATACCTTAAGAGTCAACAAACTCTATAGAATTTCTAAGTCGTGATAACTACATAACCTTTTTCCGTTGAGTAAGATCCATAAGATGATATAAAAATAGATGCATACAACCGTAGTCATATTACACGACATTGCCCAAACATACTTTTACTCTGAATTAACAATAATCATGACCTATGAGTGAGAGGGAACAACAAGAAGCGATATGAAGAAGTCGAATCACAAGGTTTCAAAGGGATAAGAAACCTCACAGAATAGGCTATCCAAAGCTATCCAAATCAAGAAGTATTAAATGAGATGAGGAATCTCAAAAAGAACGTAACAAGAATAAGGAAGCATTCAAACAAGATCAAACACCTCACTCATGATCAATAATGGGAAGGAAGTAAGATAGTCAAGCAATATTGTATACAAAGAATCAGATACCTGAAAAAGTAGGTAACCGAGATGCCGAAGTATTGAAATAAGATAAGGAGTTTTGAAATGAGATATGGGATTTCCATTGTGATCAATAATAACAATGGAACAATGCATGTACAAGAATCGAATTTTGAGGCCAAAAGAACAAGAACCTCAAAAATAGGTAGAAAGATTGATCCGACATGAGAATAATAACAATGGTATAGCCAAATCAAACGAGAATAGGGACCTCAAAGGTATGTGACCAAAATCACGAGCTATTCAAGAAAATTGGAACACTGAAAATGTAGTATAGATTAAGTAAAGCAATATCCAAGAAAGAAAAAGTCTCGACAAATAGATTCGCCGAAACTATAGAGTGTTCAAAGAGATACAAAACCTCACAATCAGGTAGATGATCAAAGCAGATGGTAATAGAATAAAGTAAGAAGCCTCACAAGAACATGACCAAAGTCATGACGTATTCAAAATAATTGGATCACTAAGGATGGAGTGAACTGGATGAGAAGTCTCGGCAAATAGATAAGCCGAAACCATAACTATTTACAAAGGATAGAATAATTGGATCACTAAGGATGGAGTGAACTGGATGAGAAGTCTCGGCAAATAGATAAGCCGAAACCATAACTGTTTACAAAGGATAGAAGGTGGAGATGGTAGCACAATAAGGTAAGGGCTTCAAAACAAGAGATAATCCAAACCATGCGGAATTTGAAGGGGTACGAAACCTCACAACATTGGTAACCAAGACTATGAGGTATTAAAATGAGATAAGAAAATCGATTACGACCAACAAATGAAATTAGACAATACTGGCCAACGAATCAAAATTGAATTCATTGGAATGATAAGGAGTGAACAAAAGGACTCCCGAATATTTGGTTCACCGTAAATCAATACTCAAAACGAGATAATATGGTTTCGATAAGGAAGTCAAGTTATGAAGTAAAATGGAATGGGACGTCTACAAGAAAAGGTGTTACCAAATTCAAGTGAAACTAGGAAACTCACTCGAGATAAACAACATCGGAGAATTGGAAGCCAACTGAAGTAACAAAAAGAACCAAGAATCTCATACTGCATCTCAGGTCGCGTATGATAGATATTTCTACGGGGTATGCCTCACTATCTATATCAGTAATAGATGCTAAAGAATTATCTCAATGCCTCTATGACTCGATTACTGCCGATCACAATTTAGCCCAAGATTCAATTCATAGCTCTACAATTCTCAAAGATCCCTTTTCATCATCGCTCGGGCATCCAACCCAAAGCCAACCCAAAGCTCTGATACCACCTGTAGCGCCCCGCCCCGAGTAGCAGGCACCTCGTGGCGGAACACCACTCAACATGCAGTACATTCAATGACCCCAAATATGCTCCTCAAAATTTCGATAATCAAAACATTAACCCGCAATATCTATCCCATCGTGTTTACAAAAGGAGGTTCTATTACAAGTCGACTTCGACACCACTTACTCTATTACAAAATTCTCGATCAAAGGATTCCTATACGGAACATAAATAGAGATACCTCTCGACGAGACTAATCGGAGGCATACACGAGCTTTAACTCTTAGTATGAAAATTTAGGTCTAAGTCTTTCTTTTACCTGCGCATTAATATCATAAAGGAGAAACGAATAAGTCCGAATGACTTAGTGAAAAACATATGATCCATGAGTATGATGAGAATCAACAGAACAGAACATATAACGAGAGACTTTACAAGAATTTCATTAACAGAAGTGTAACATGTACAAGAGTGTAACATGTACGGCTTGAGTTCAATATTTGGTGGGGTCTCCAACCTTGTAACTCCCAACAAATAAAATCATATCACGTCCTTATCCCTCCACTCCGTCCCGAGTGGCCACTCGGTCGGAAACAAGCAAGAGGCACGACCGGAACGTGCCGATCCGGCTCAGGAACGTTTAACTCCAAACGAACGTGAGTCCGAACCATCAGGAGGTACCATTCGGGAGACCAGTCATCGTCAGCCCAATACTGCCCGATCGTCTTGCCGAAATGGTCCTAGGGCCCAGCTCCCCCAAGAGCGTCCTCAAGGGTGGGGACAGTAGGTTCAAGAATCAATATTATTCCTTTTAGGAATATCAAGTCATTCATTTCAAGAATCAAGTCAATCATTCACAAGATAAGTCGCGATCACGATAATTGAATATCAAGTCTCAGGATAATGAACATGTTCAGATTTCAATTCAAGCCAATGAAGAATTGTCGTGAATATGGAATTCAAGAACAACAATAAGTTCCATGTCAGGTTCCAAGAACGAGTATATCAAGATCTCAATGAATTCAATAAACATGAGATTCAAGTTCGAGCCAACAAAATATTTATTCTCGGAAAGCATTCAAGACAAGATTTTGAGAATAAATATAGTTCAATATCGATTCAAGGAAAATGTTCAGGCCAGGGAATCAAGTATAGGAATTAGCCGTGAACATAGCAACCAAGAGAATTGACAAGTTCAAGATTTCAAGAACAAGATCAAGGTTCCAAGTTCGAGCCAAGGAAACGAATATGCTCACAGAACATTAAAGGTCATATTCCAAGAAAAATATAATCAATGCATCAAAGGATTCAAGATGGAGAATATATTTGGTTCAAACAAAGGAGATATTAAGCGCAGGAAAGAAATCGGATAAGGAGTCATAGTTTCTCACCTGGAGTCCAACGTTAGTGCTATAGAAGTGCTATAGAAGCATCTTTAAGCTTAAACCTTGAGTGAGAGCTTTACTACGCTCAACACCTATGCAAATATTAGAACTAAATAAGATTCCGAACAGTAATATAGTCATACTACCATCCACTATATGACATAGTCAATTTCTTAAACATATACTAAGAATTGATTCTCGTGGCACTCTATTCAAATAATCACTGGGATCGTCGTACTTATCCGAATGACCTAAATGATATATATCGTTAAAGATAACATATGTATCTACAAGTTTACTGAAGACTTTAATCCCAAATTAACAACATAACCCGTCAATAACAATCCCGAAAGATGAATACATAAACCTGCCAGATTTTCGCATAATTTCGTTTGCTGTCACAGTTTCGTTGGAAAATCATAACAAATCGTACAGTTATCCAAATTGTCCAAATAATACATCAAATGAAACCTGGAATTTTAATCTACAAGTTTCATGAAGACACACAGCCTAAATTCTGACCCGAACATATCGAAAACAGTCCCGCAAGAAGGTACTCAAAACTGCCCTGTTTCCGGCAGATTACTGTCATCGGATTCGGACCTCTAAAACATGCATATTACATACTCTAATTCGATACAATTGAACACTTACTTATAGTTTACGATGTCCTCTATGAGTTTCCTGAAGGAACCGATTCGAAATTCGCATTCGAAACCCTTCGATTTCGGCTCCGAAAACAGGTGCGGCAGCAGAATTTGCTTCCCTTCGTTTCAACGAGCGAGCTGAAGTTCTAGCCAATTCCGATGACCACCGCTGATGTAAACAATCAAGAACCACCACCACTGGAAATCTAACTTATTAAGGTTTCGAACGGTACCTTCGGATCATCGATGCTCCAACTTTAAGACCTCCGTTTAATTGATTTACGGAAAAGGCAAAACTCTGAAATTGAAATTCTGGACAGCTCGTCTTCTTTGTCGGATTCCAGCCACCACCGCCGGCGACTGCTGCTGGAGACCACCACCACTATAAATCCGACTTTTTTTTCTTCAATTAACTTCCATGATTTCAGCCAAGGATCGAGAGAGAGAGGAAGAGAGAGATGATGAGAGAGAGCGAGAGAGAGAAAGGAGTTTGGAGAAGAGGAGTGAAGTGTAGGAAGAATCGGATGAAGATGAAGAGGAAGTCTGACTCATCTTTTATTCTACGTGTCTCTCTCTCTAATTTTCTTGGTTAATAACATTCAATTATCCGATTACACAAGCCCCTCAATTGCTTAATGACCAAGTTACTAAATTATAGAATTATTATTATGCTTATGCCCCAAAATTATTACATAATAACACATCAGCCCCCAATTCCCATTATAAAGTACAATAAACTCTCGCATAATTTACTCGGTGTTACACACTGGGTTTTGCTAATGAGCCTGCTCGGGCCTTTCTATTCATCTAACCTCTTTATCAGGCTGTGGTGAATCTGTACTCCTCCGCTTGAAGAGATAGCAGACTCATACAACTTTGGTTTCCTCACGTCTATTGCTCGAGTCGAGTCGGTTCCCACATCATCTGGCTATCGATCAGTCAACCAATCATTGAGTTTGCTCCGAAGAATCCTGCCTGCCGATCCAAGCCTCTCCTTCCATTTTGCCCATTTCTTTTGGGAAACCCAAGGAGCGTCCATGGGCGGTGTATTGACCGGAAACTTAAAGTGGAGGAGCAGGGTTTCAAGGAATTGGTAAAAGATTGCTAGTCGGATTCGCGTGAGCGAGGCCACCTCGGCCATGCATCGGTAACCCATGAGCCGAACAGGGGTTACTTTTCACTATTTATTATTTATTTTTAGAAATAATATGGCCAATAAAAAACCAGTGGGAAAAAGGTTGAAGAATGGAAATAACGAAAAAGATGCCTTCATTCTAATCTTAGCAGAACATGGGAACACCATAGTTGTGATTGAACCTACGAATTTTGCCTTGAATATTGTGTATGATTGAAAAATCGACGTCTTATAACTCGATTTTCCCACAGACGGCGCCAATTGATGCGGCTGGGTTGACCGCTTCATGGAATTCGAATCTTCGAGCCCATTCCGTATTGGGTTTGTTCGCCGCAGACCTGCAAAAGGGGCCGGGAGAGGTGCTCCCGGCGTTAGCACTCCGACGCCCAAGTTAGAACACCTCAAAGATTCGGAGATAAATATATTTGAGAGAAAATAGTGTGTTAAGATCAAAAGATACTTACCTTGAGGGTGATGAACCCTCTATTTATAGAAGAGAATTTTCGGATGTCACTCATTTTATCTAATTCGGTTAATAGAGTCGTTTGATGTCCATGACACTTTATGAGAGTCTTAGTGGTTAAGTAATAAAGATATTTCATATGCCTTAGTGTTTAAGTCATGAGGTGGCACCTTCAGCTCGTCGTCCATCACTAGACGCTCAGTACTCGGCAGCTCGTCACTCGACACGTCTGTTACTTTTCGCTCGGCCCTCGGCACTCGGCATTTGGCATTCGGCGCTCGGTACTCGACAACTCGTCGCTCGACACTCGGCACTCGGCGTATTGTCACTCGTCATTCGACGCACGACACTCGTGAGCTACCTTCGGCTCGCTTAGAGGTCTTCAGCTCGTCGAGGGTCATCTAGTCGTCTTTACTAACAATGTATTATTATCTTTGGGCCTTACACCTGTGGGCTTAATGTTTTGGGTCATTTATAAAGATCCGATGAAATGGGCCAGTAAGCTCGGATCCCATGTGGTCATATTTCCTCCTTTGGGTGTGGGCCAACTCTATTGGGCTTTGCCTATTTGGGCCCTGCAAATCTGTCCGGATCAACAATAATTTTTTTTTTTTTTTTTTTTTTTGAGAATACCCTTACAATAAATCTGCATGCATTAATTAATTTCTTTTTCGAAAGAAAGAAAGAAAAAAGACTTATTAGAGAGAGAGAATTAAATCAATCTGTGATTGATCGATTATATAGCAATGGAGTTGAAGTATTCGCCAGGTAATTATTCGCCAGGTTATCATTTTGTGCCGACAGATGAAGAACTCATCTTTCACTACTTACTAAAGAAGATCAACAATCAGCCTTTACCAGCCGACGTTATTCAAGTCGTCAACTTTTCCGATCACGGTCCTGATACTTTGACACGTACGTAATTTGTTTTTTTTTTTTTTTTTTTTTCTTTTTTTAAGTTCATGCTTGAATGATCTTGTGTACGCGTTCTTTCATGGATTCTTATTTTTAGGTTTTACGATTATTTCATCTTAATTGTATTAAGGTTTCTTGATTATTTTTAATTAATCAAGTTGTCAACTTTTCCTTGTTCATGCATGATTTTTTGATTTTTAATTTTATGATTATTTTCATCTTATATTGATCTTGAATTCTTGAAAATATATACATGCGAATATCCTCCAGTTGGAGACAAGGAATGATATTTTTTCACCCCGATGATTCGAAAGTATGCAAATGGATCGCAGCCTAATCGAACTGCAGGCGTATATTTTACTGCAAAACTACTCAAGCACCAAAAACGCATAAAAATTATAAAAAATATTTAGCAAACAAACAATAAATAACTTTAAGGTCCCTATAGTATCGAAAATTACAATTACTCCTAAAACATTGCTAAAATAACTTAAGAATCTTAAGATGAATATGCCTGAACAAGAAATAACAACAATGCCAACTTACGAGGCCGAGTTTTTACCAACATTGTTACTATCTTGATTTCTTGTCACAATATCTTTGCTTAGGTTAGGACAAGTTAAAAATTTTAGATCTTCTTCCCTCCAATTACAAAGCTCATTGAATTGAGCCAAGACAAGAAAACAACTAACTCCTAGATTTATATCGCTTTATTTAATTGAATAAAAAAACACTAGCCAAATGTAGGAACAAGCATATACCCCCAATTAAATTCCATCCTTATTCCAAAACAAAAACCAAACAAGACACTAATTCTGCCAAATGTTATGTCGCTCGCATGGTTTGCAAGTTAATTATACGTGAGTGTAGATTTATCCAGTGCAACTATATGACTATAGTTCTTTTATTATAAAAAAAATAAAATAATGGGTTATAATTTGACTTCTCGTCTATTTCAATTTAAATGTTTATAATTTTTAGTTAATTTTTGAAATTTTAAACATTTCCATATTTTTTAGTTATAGTTTAAATATAAATATTGATATTTATTTTATATTATATATAAGTGACTGAAAAATGAAAATTCTGAATTTCGTCAGTTACGATCTGAAAATATCTTATTTTGATACAAGTTTTCTCATTCCAATTTTCAAAATTTCCATTTTTTTTTTCACAAGGGAAATGGAGTTAATTTTTAACTTTCAAAAGAAATAATTAAAAAAAAAAAATAGAGTTAATTCTTAATTAGTTTTTCAAAAGTGGTATATTCCGGTTGACACGTGCGTCATAATATCCGAGAGCACAAAAGCACACTCTACCTCGTTCACGCCGAGTTTTTTTTAGGCGCACTATAGTTTTGTCGCGATGATGCGGCTCAATATAGTCCCTCCCATCTGGTGCCGGCTAACGTACGCACCCACCCCGCTCTCTCCGCTGGCACATAAAATCCTGGGATTCTGTTTATTCTCAGCTCCACTTTGCAGCAACCTTCTCTCTTCTCAGAGATTACTATTAATGCCCTAATTCTTCGGGGAATGTCGATTCGGATCCTAAATCATACCCGCTCTTGCTTTGAAAACGGTGAGTTTGATTTTGAAATTTAAGCCCTAATAATTATTTGGTTAGATGCTTTGGTAATTTAAAATTATAATTGAAGTTGAAGATACCCTTTTCGATCAAATCATTAGCTTTTTAGTTGATAAATTTTGCTTCTCGATTTTTTTTTTTTTATATGACAATTTACTAGTGTTAACTGTCTTGCTGATCTATTTTCTGCAATTTTAAACACTGTCTAATCAATTAAATTTGTTGAATTTTGATTCAGGAATAATTTCGGAGCCGATTCGGGTTCGTATTTAGGTAGCTGGGGTTTTTGTTTTTTCGTTTTTCAAACATCTGTAATTCTGTATTGATGGTGGGGGAGAATTTGACGGAGACTTGGTTTGCTAGTTTATGGAAAAATTCACGTAAGAGCATATCGCGCGAACCCGAAAGACAATCGCTCGGTATTTTAGCATTCGAAATCTCGAGATTGATGTCGAAGTTGGTCAACATGTGGCAGTTCCTCACCGACAGACAAATCCTTCGTTTGCGGGAAGAGATTGCGAACTCGGTCGGGATCGAGAAGCTTGTTTCGCAAGATGAAGGCTATCTTATGGATCTAGCGTTTTCTGAAATAATCGAGAATTTGTCGAGTGTCGCGAAATCAGTGTCCTTACTTGGAAAGAAGTGTGCAGATCCGATTTACCACAATCTTGAAACGGTTTTCGATAACCCGTTGGAGATTGATCCGAAATGGTGTTTGTGGCAATATAGACTGAAGAAGATGGAGAAGAAAATCAAGAAAATGGAGAAGTTTGTGGCTGCGACCGAACAAATGTACCCGGAGATTGAGGTTTTGGCGGAGCTCGAGCAGAGCCTGAGGCGAATGCGAGCTGGCGCCAGCTCAGCAAAAGTGAGGCTTCTAGAATTTCAGCAGAAGGTTCTATGGCAACGGCAAGAAGTCAGGAATCTTCGAGAAATGTCACCTTGGGTAAGAACGTACGACTACATCGTTCGACTTCTTCTCAGATCTTTATTCACAATTATCGAAAGAATCAAGTGTGTTTATGGGGTTGAGGGAAATGACAATTTTGCCCCCATCCCCGGTGATTGCCTAGTTCGTAATGATTCCATGCAAGAGAACAGTGCGTCTAGGATTTCTGTAGGGAGGTCGTTTTCGAGTTTAGGGTTTGGCGGTGAAAATAGCAAATCGAAGAGCAAGAAACAGCATTTCTCGAAAAGTGGAAGATTCGGTGCTACAGGGTGCATGACGGGTGGAAGTGAATCTCCTGTTGCTTATATAAAAGACGTATATAATAACAAGACTTGTCCTAAAGTATCATCGTTATTTAATTCGAAGCGTATTATATCGAACGCTCCTCAATCGACTCTCGGCTATGCTGCTTTGCATCTGCACTACGCAAATGTCATAATCTTGATCGAGAAGTTATCTTCGTCTCCTCATTTGATCAGCCTCGATGCAAGAGATGATCTCTACGGTATGCTGCCTTCAACTCTCAGAAATTGTCTGAGGGCAAAGCTGAGGGTATTTTCGAGAAATTCAGTTTCTTGTACTGGATACGACGCTGACCTGGCGGCCGAGTGGGGTTTAGCAATTGCGAGGGTATTGGATTGGCTTTCGCCGCTTGCTCATAACATGATCAGGTGGCAATCTGAACGGAATTTTGAACGGCAGAGATTCGTTTACGGGTCGAATGTTCTTCTTGTACAGACGCTTTATTTTGCAGATAGAGTAGAGACGGAAGCGGTGATTGTGGAACTGTTGATGGGCGTAAATTACCTTTTTAGATTTGGCAGAAAAATTGACGAGAAACCGTACAGAGAGTCTTCGTGCAATGGGGCTTATGACGGCTATTTATTTCCGAGGGGTGGTGTGTACTGCAACGTGATTGATGATAACAGCATAAGAGAGCTTTCTTGATTGGTTCGACGCTGTGTTTTCAAAACTAGGTGCTATAAATTTAACGAAAGACGGTTTCTTGAACAAGCAAGTGTCTTGATGAACTTCGATCTTCAAACTTCGTCCGAGTTTTATTTGATATCACTAAAGTTAATTCGAGAGTTTATTGTCGTAATATCGTACTAAATGTTGTAATTTGATGTATATGTTGAAGAACGTTAGATGAAGAACACCTTGAACTCGATGTATATATATATATATATATATATATATATATATATATATATATATATATATATATATATATATATATATATATATATATATATATATATGGCTTAATTACACTTTGCACCTTTGAAATATAGTCTTTTGGCACTTTGCACTCTCGAAAAACTTAAAGAACATTTTACACCTTCAAAACACAATATACAATGCACATCATGTATTGAATTTTCATAAGTTAATTATATTTTACAAATTAATTTCCAGCAAACAGGTTCACAAATTATGCCAAAAGTTTTACGGGTAAAAAATATATGTAATTATTATTTATTTTTGTGGGAAAAAAAATTTAATTGTCAAGTTTTTTTTTTTCTTTTCTTTTTGCAGGAAAAAAATTTAATTGTCAAGGTTTTTTTTTTTTTTTTCTTTTTCTTTTTGCACTTTTACGTTCTAAATTAGGTTCAAGGGTGGAGGAAAATAATATTTTTATTTTTTTATTTTACACCATGATAAAAATACCACCATAAAGATGAAGTTGCCTCATCGACTTTTAAAAGTTTAACTTGGTGTGCAGTCTAAACCGATTTATTTTATTTCAATGGTGCAAAATACTATTAATTTTTTTATAGCAGTGCAAAAGTTCCAAAATACTATTATTTCAAGTGTGGAAATTGAAATAAAGCCATTTTTTCATATGTGTTAATTTGTGTATAATAATGCATCAAAATTAAATTTAGGTCGACATATAAAAGGTTCGAAAACTAAGAAGTTGTATATCGTAGAATGTCGACACATTAATACCCAGTTAATAATTTTGATTAAATAGTATATTTGTCGATTCCGACCTAAGGACAACATGTTAATTAAGAATTTGCTAATTTATAAGATAATAATTTCCTTAAGTTGGAATTGACAAATATATTATTTAGCCAATAATTTAATCGAAATTTAGCCAATAGTCCTTCCTTATTGACATTAAAAGAAAATGACACACTAATATTTCTATTAGCTAAAAGTTTACTCTCAAAATTTCATTTGACTATTTCTCAAACCCTTAATTTTATACCACAATGCAACATTGTTTGAAACGGAATGATGAATTGGAAAGAACTCAGAAGTATTCCTACTTAAACACGTCGAATTTTCGCTATTCGACATTGTTTAGACACCTACGGAAACTTTTTTGTTTTTTGTATTTCTATTAATATTTGAATTTGTATAACTTTCAACGTGAAATTAAATAATTTATGAGCTAGTAGAGAATTAATTAAATCTCATATAATCTAGTTAATCCAGCATATGCAATTTGAATGATGATTGAATTAATAAGATCATTGAGATGCTACATTCGGTAAAATACACCGGGTAATTTTTAACTATTGATGGGATAAAATAATTTACCACTAATCACACATATATATGGGTGTGATTATTTGTTGATCTTCAACACTTAATAATCACTCAGTGTATTTCACGGGTATAGCGTCAAATAAACCATTGAATAATAGTAACATTTAATTAACGTACATCAATTTTAATTGGCGAACTTGTATTAATAAGATTTTTGTCGATCATAATTCTACTAATGTTTTTTTTTTTATAATGAAGTACGTAATACTAACTTTTCATTAGTGGTTATTTATGTAGAGTCGGGCCGCGAATATGGCCCGAGCCCGACTCAGTTTTCCAATCATTTGCCCCGAACATTAGTATTTTGTATTAATAGGCTTGGTTCCACTTTGCACCATCGAAATATATCATTTTGGTATTTTGCACTTTCGAAATAAATTAATAGCACTTTGCACTATCAAAATACAGTAAATCCTGCATTATGCATTCGAAATGATTTTTTAAAGCTAATAAATGTAATTTAATATTTTTAGTGGTATTTATTTTGGATGACAAGTATCAAATCCATTTTGTTTTATTTATCAATTATTTTGAAACTATAAAGTGAAAAATTAAAAACACTTCTTATGAACATATTTAAAAATTATATTTTTTATCACAAAAAAATATTTTACAAAAAAAATTATTCAGCTATTTCGTAATTAAGTTATCTGAGAATCATATTTTCTTCCAAATATTTTTAACTAATATTTCCACAGTTACAATAAAAGATCCATCATTCAAATAATTTAGCCATAAAAGTTCATTTCATTTTATTTTATATAAAATATAGTATATTTTAATAATCCGGTGTGATTTTTATTTTTCGCATTTTATGCACTCAAAATTAGGTTCAAGGTTGAAGAAAATAACAATTTAATTCTTTATTTTGCATCCTGTAAAGAAAAAAAGAAAAAAAACTAATAAAAAATAAAATTTCCTTTGTTATTCAATTCATGGTGCGTTGTGAATAATTTATTGTGTTTTGAGGGTGCAAAGTGCAACTATTATTTTTGAAGGGTCAAACTGTCAAAATGCTCCATTTCAAGGGTGCAAAGTGGAATATTAATACTACTATTTCAAATTTCTACTGTGCACTGTTGAAAGAAGAAAAGAAGCAGAGGTCAATTTCAATGGCGAGTAAAAGAGGTGAAACAGTGTACAAAATTTACCGAGCCCTAACCCAAGGTATATCGCCGTTAATCCGCCTGCACCTACAATGGCGCAGGTTCCGCCGCCGCGAACATCCACTCCGCTGGCGGGAACGCCTCGGATTCCCCTCTGCTCCCCGCCCCACCGGCCACCTCATCTGGTTTCACGCCGTCTCCTTAGGTTATTATTTTTTTTCTTCTTCAAATTTAATCCCGTAATCGAAAATTCTAACCGTTAAAATTGTGCAATTACTCACTCCTGATTAATACAGTTTCAGCTGGGTTTGCTTGAACAGGTGAAGGATTGGCGGCGATTCCTGTGATCAATTGCTGTTTGGAGAGAAGGCCGGATGTAACCGTTTTGATGACGACCACAACTACGTCAGCATTGTTAGGGATTTTATTTATAAATAATTAATTTTCTTAATTTGGCATTTTTACAGTATTCTTTCTGATTCTATGTCCTTTTTTGTTTTTCCCCAAATTTTTATTATTTTTGCCAGTGAAGTGATAAAGAACAGGCTTCCAAGTAATGTCATATATCAGGTACCTTCAAAATTATTCCTGGTAATTTCTACAATAGCTAGTTAGAACTTTTTTGTCGGATTTTTCATCGGTACTTTATATTCCTTTGTGATGATTTAAATATGATTGATGACTCCAAACCATGATCTTTTTATGGTATAATAATCTCGATTGCTGTAATACTTGGCCGTATTTTGAAATTCTAACATAGACTTGTACTTATATTTTCTTTCTCGCTTGTAGTATAGAATTCGATTGGTCGAACTACAAATTTGTGTTCCAGAAAAATATCATCCATCTGTATTTTCATCTTCATCGCTCCAGGTTACAAACATTTTGAAATACGTCTAACTGAGGAATGATGCTTGTTTTAATTTTCATCTGTTGATATGTGAATGTTCCCACTTAATACTTCAATACTCGAGAAGTTTTTTCTTTATCGGAAATATTGCTGAATTTTTTTGATTTCTCGATCCCTCCCTGACACTAATGGGAATGATACTTTCCTTGACATTACACATTGTTATGAACCAGTTTGCTCCACTCGATATACCGTCCACTGTGGATGCTTTCCTTCAACATTGGAGGCCGAATGCAGTCATGCTAATGGAAAGTGAGCTGTGGCCGAATCTCATTATGTGTGCTGCAAGAAATGGTGTAAGCTGTACATTCTCATTTTAATTGCACATAGTTTTTTGGTGCTCGTCTGTAGCCAATGCTTTTATGAGTTTACTGTGGGCATATCTCTCTACTGATGCAACTTTATGTAGAAATATGTTGGTTGTGATGAATGAATTAAACATTCTTTTGACCAATTCTTTCTCTAGCTTCCCTGTTTCACTGGTCTAGTGTTATTGACATTTCTTTGAGGCTAAATTACGGCTACCCCCTGAAGTAAGGTCAAATTACGAAAAAAAAACTCCTCTTGTTTGGGTAATTACAACCATCCTCTCAATTATGAATTTTTTTACACATCCACCCTTGCGATGTCAAATTTATTGGAATCTTCCAGATTATTTGGAATATTCTCCAGTTTGTACCCGTTTTACCCCATTCGAGCTCCATATTTTGAAACAAGATGATCATAAAATGTGTCTCTTGGCTTGTAAATATCAGATTGTGGTGCATCAGAAACTGCATTTTTGCACAAAACGAGTACAAACTAGAGAACATTCCACGAAATCTAGATGATTATGTTAAATTTGACACCATAAGGATGGACGTGTAAGAAGTTCATAGTTGAGGGGTGGTTGTAATTACCCAAACATGAGGGTTTTTTTCGTAATTGACCTTACCTTAGGGGTGGCCGTAATTACCTTTCTTTTATCATTATTAGAAACTTTCGTATCATATATATTTTTGTTAATTTCTCATTACTTGTGGTTACACCTGTTTGTTCTCTGTTCAGATTGCAATGACGTTGCTGAACGGCAGAATGTCTACAAAATCGTTCCAAAATTGGTCTCATCCACTATTTCTTCCATTGATCTCGTTAATGCTATCAAAATTTTCGTTGATTCTTCCATTGGTACGTACTCATATTTTCTGTCGGAAAATTCTGAATCTTTACCGCTATCTTTCATTGCTTTTGTTTCTCTCAATTACGACAGAGCACAATCCAAGGAATTCGTTTCCAGCTATTGCAAGCTTCACCTGTTATCATAAACTATTCTGGAGATCTCAAATATGGTATGAGGATTATCAGCCCTATCCAAAGAAATGTGAAATAATGTAACATGTACTTTGAGCTGACTCCTTATTGTATATGATTTTGATAACTTAATCATACACGTTGAAGTAAAAAACAAACATAGTAAAGTGTTGCACTTATTGGTTTCTTCTCAGCTGTAGCGGATTTTTGCGTTTCTGAAGGGAAGAAGAAAGGCCTGAAAGAATTCGAGGCTCAGCTTTCTGGTAGAAAAGTATGGATGGCTTCTTCCATTCATAAGGGGGAAGAGGAAGGTTAGTTTGATTGATGCCTACCTTGTTCAATTAAAGTAATTACGGAATCATTCTACTTTGTTCACTAGTTCTTAAAGCAAAAGCATCTGTTAGTATTTTGTTCGGGGAGTCTTTTGCAATTTGATCCCTGCGTAAACCTAAGCATAAGTGAACCTAGGATTTCCTTATGAGACATGACATGAATTTTGTGCCATTAGCAGAACTTTGTTAGACAGCTATAAAATTGTCGTTTCAAGTTTCAACTAAATTCTCATGAAACTGTTATGCAGTATTTATAGGAGCTCACGACATGCTAAAACGGAATCATGCCGATGTAGTAACTATTATTGTACCACGTCAACCTCAGCATGGAGAAGATATTGCTCAGGTATAATTTTATTGCTCAACTTTATTTATTTATTTTCTATAATTATTATTATTATTTTTTTTTTTTAATTTTCTTTAAATGTTATAACTAGACATTTCTATCTTCATGTGTTGGCGTGGTTAAGAAAATAAAAAATTCTCCTGTAGAGAACATTTGTACTATTTTGTGGAGTAGATCATCAAACTATACACTTACTATGGTTTCCGTACTCTTTTTTGTATGATAGATTTCAGCGTCAGTGTCAATCTGTACTGTATTTCTTTCGTTTTGTTGAGAGGCAACTTATCATGTGCTTTTGCTTTAATAATACAGAAATTACAGGAGGAAGGAATTTCAGTAGCATTGAGGTCTCGTGGCGATAATCTCACCCCTGAAACAAGTATATATGTGGTCGACTCATTAGGTGTATATCCATCCTTCATGCGACCTTTTTTTTTAATGGTAATCTGTTAATTTATCATAAATTTGGAAGATAATTATATTACTTCTAGAAGGCATCTCTGGTATTGTCAGCAAACGAAGGTTATTTTCAATGTGTAAGAAGTTAGAAAATGAGTGTACTCTTTTTACTTGCAATGTATAAGGAAAGCTACTTATATTTGTTTTATTCTGCTTCATAGGTGAATTGAGAGAGTTCTACAGATTAACCCCGATTGCTGTAATAGGAGGTTCGTTCGCAGTGGGATCAGCTGGTCATAATATATCAGAAGCGGCTGCAGCTGGATGCGCTGTTTTAACAGGTCGTTCATTTATTCTTTCTTTTTTTAACATGTTTTCTCTAATATTACTATATAAATTTGCTTATCTGGTTGTTCTAATTTTTAGGTAATCACGTTGGCCACTTCTCACACATGGTGGCAGAAATGCAACGCGTGAATCCCCTTTCGGTTCTCCAGGTATAAATTATGGGGAGCAAAAATAGAGACATGAATCTGAAGTTTAAACTTATAAGTTGGATCTTTAAAATATTATATTATATTATTTCAGGTTTCTGGTGAAAAACTTGCGGAAGCTGTTAATGAGCTGTTTGGTAATGTCGAAATTTTTGAAGCGCGTCGTTTGGCTGCCAGACAAGCATACCATGCTTTGTCTAGTGGCATTGTTGAAAATATATGGGAAATGTTGCAATTCCACGTATTCGAGAAGCTAAATGCAAAGGAGTAATTTTCAAATTACTTCATTTTTTCATTGCGTACTTAAGGTGACAATCTGCACGAACTACGAGAATGTTACGGTGTTATGTTGGCCTTCCTGGTAAGTCTTCTGTTTGATCAGACATGCATGAGTAATATGAAATTACGTAAAAAAAATTATCACGTAAATGCATTTATTCAAGAATAAAATGATAATACTACGTTTACGAAGGGTGTTTTGTATAAGATTTCCTATGTAATTTCAAGAACATTTCATCGGTAGTCATGCTATGTTAGAGTGTTCGTTTACCTTTTCTTATGCATAATGATGCATATATGTGATATTGGTGATTTTTTTTGGTAGTTGTGTGGTCCAGAAGCAAAAGGGAAGTCAATGGGAAACTCTGAATAGTTTCGTTACTGCTTTTTGCAAATGAAATGCAGAAAGAATACGATTATAAAGAACTATGTTTTATTGCACGGGCGACATCACATCGAACAACCAGGTACCGGTTTCTTGACTATGCTAATGTTACAACTTACAGCAGTCGAATATATAGTGTCACACCACATTTCTCAATTGATTGTATTTTATTCAAATATCAAGGATTCAACTATGCTAATGTGTCATTTTTAATTTTTATTATATACATATATATATATATATATATATATAATATTTGATAATATTAAAAAAATAAAATTAAGCTTGCATGTCTTGTTCTATTTTTCTTTTCTTTTTTTTTTTTTTTTTGGGATAATTCTATTTTTCTTTTGTTCTATATAAAATCATCTTAATAGAAGTATAATGAAAAAAAAACATATTATTATTTATTAGTAATAATAAATTGAGCTCGAACACGTCCTCAATTATGATGGTTTGATATTCGACGAGTTCAAACGACACTCGTCAAAATGTACTCGAGCTCACCACCAAAGCTTCGTTGTTTTTTTTCTTTTTTTCTTTTTAAATTATTATTCTTCTTTGGTTGACCTCTAGTATTGAAAAATCAGGATTTCTTATTTCTCTCTCTAGCATTGGAAAAAATTGGCTAATCTTGAATAATCAATCCCATCATTTCTTATCGTCAATCACGCCTTCAATCCTCATAGTTAATAGGCAGACAAAAAAATAAATAGAAATCCATTTGTAACCCCCATTCTTCACTTTTGCCAGATAAACCCCGACAAGCCTTACAAGTATGTAATAGATTCCCTTCACTAAGTTTTTATCTGACAAGTAATTTACTGAAAGCCAATAGTAAAACCATGTGATTTAATAATTATTATTTTATTGGAGTGGGGTGTAAGATTAATGTTAGTAGGAACATGAATTGGAGGATTTGATGTTGATAGATGAAGTTGACGAGAGAGAAAATAAAAATTGTGGTCATGTTAAAGAATCTGGTTTTTACAGCGAAATTCAACTTTATGTGATTTGGGAACACAACTTTGCTTCTTTATTACTTAAAGCGAAAGAGAGAGAAAAAGTAAAACAAGAAACAAAAATATATGGTTGAGGAAAAATGATTTAAATTAAATTTAAAAGGATTAAGCTTGCACCAATTTACCATTCCGTAACCAGTTGGCATATACTCACTAACAGGCACAACATTCACCCAAGCGTAGAAAATTCTAAATCTGCCCTCACTCACCAATGAGTTGACTCACTAATACATACACAGTCAACAAGAAACACTCTCAATCAATCATCAACGAGTGTTTTACTCAAAAAATAGTCAATTGAAACACATGCAAAGAAGATTGAGCCCTTTATTCTTTTCTCTAACGATAGTATATATCGCGAACGAATCAACGGTATGAGGGCAAAAAAAAAGGATTAAGCTACCAGAGCTATTTTTATGTTCGACTCGAGCTTGTGTTCAGTTTAATATAAAAATATGGGTAAATAGCACTTATCTCCCTGTGGTTTGAGCTTTATGGACATGACATATTTGTACTTTCAATATAGTGCATACCCCCATGTATTTTCAAAAAAAAAAAAATTATAATGAGCATGATTACTCACTGAATGGAATATCATAGGGGAGTTATGTACTTATATTAAAAGTACAAGGGTCTCATGTGCACAAAACTCAAACCACACGAACTTAAGTGCTATTTAATATTTACCTTAAAAATATTTTGAAAACATATAAAGCAGAAGAATGGGAAAAAGAAAGCAGGACAAATAATGTTGAAGGATGTGCCCCCCTTTATATGAAGGTTCACAAATCAGCCTCAGTAAATACAGAAAAATAAAAATAAAAAATAAAAAGAAAAGCTCTGCACATTCCATCTTTTACTTTTCGTTTTGTTTTGTGAACACACTTTATTCAAAAATTAAATTGAATTAAATTGAATTCCTTTTAGGAGGGAGTGGAGAACAGCAATCATTCACACAACCAATGCTCATCATATTCACTCTTGCATCCTTTAATCATTTCCCTCCTTTTTTTATTTATCTATTAATTCTCTAACCATTATTCAAATTATTTATTATATTTCACATTTTCAACCACTAATCCCCTTTTTGTCAATCTCTCTCTCTCTCTACAATCATGACCAGAGATGGAGGAGCTTTCTCTCTCTCTCTCTCTCACTCTCACACACACTTGAACGTGTAAGCATTCAAGATTTATCCCTTTTTCTTTTCTTTTCTTTTTTTTTTTCTTTTTTGGGGGGTAATTTTAGTTTTCTACTCAACATTTGTATTTTATTATGTTCACAATTCATATAACCTCTTCATGAACCAATAAATTTATTTACTTAACTTTAGTGTTTTTATTTTTCTTTTTTCAAATAAAAACTCACCACTTGATCATCACATGCACTAACCTTCTCCCATGCTAAAAAAAAATGCACCTCCAATTCCTCCTCTCTCTCATCCTCTCTACTTCACTCACCACCACCGCCGCCAATGAAACCGCCGTCCTCTCTCTCTTCCGCTCCCAAACCGACCTCCACGGCACACTCCTCTCGAACTGGACCACCTCCAACGCATGCTCCGCCAACTGGCACGGCATAAACTGCACCAACAACCGCGTCACCGCAATCACCCTCCCTTCCCTCAACCTCCGCGGCCCCATCGCCGCCCTCTCCTCGCTCGACCACCTCCACCTCCTCGACCTCCGCAGCAACCGCCTCAACGGCACCCTCTCCCCACTAACCCAATCCCCAAACCTCAAACACGTGTACCTCTCCGGAAACGACTTCTCCGGGGAAATCCCACCGGAACTCTCCACCCTCCACCGCCTCCTCCGCCTCGACCTCTCGAACAACAACCTCCGCGGCCCCATCCCCGCCACCCTCTCCAACCTCTCCCGCCTCCTCACTCTCCACCTCCAAAACAACGATCTCTCCGGAACCATACCGACGATTTTCCTCGATTCTTTCCCACGCCTCAAAGAATTGAACTTATCCAACAACGAACTATACGGAACCCTACCGGAGAATCTAATATCCCGATACGGATATAGTAGCTTCTCCGGCAACGAGGGCCTCTGCGGGACCCGCCCTTTCCCAAAGTGTTCGTACACGCAAGGACAAATCGTACCATCCAATCCAAGCTCCCTCCCTTCTTCTTCATCATCAATAACCACAACTCAATTCTCGTCAAACGAGCACCACAAAAGATTGAGCAACGGCGCAATAGTAGCTATAGTCGTAGCGAACTCGGTCCTACTATTGGTGATCGCATCGTTCGCCGTGGCATACTACTGCGGGAGGCGATCGGGATCGAATTCGATCTCCGACAGCGACTCCAGCAAGAGGAGGAGGAGCAGCAGCTACTCCGGCGAGAAGAAAGTCTACGCCAACAACAACGGCGGCGGAGGCGGAGATAGCGACGGCACTAATGCAACCGACAAGAGCAAGCTCGTGTTCTTCGACCGGAAGAAGCAGTTCGAGCTGGAGGATTTGCTCCGGGCATCGGCGGAGATGCTCGGAAAGGGTAGCTTGGGGACCGTGTACAGAGCCGTACTCGACGACGGATATACGGTGGCGGTGAAACGGCTGAAAGACGCAAACCCTTGTGCAAGAAAAGAGTTTGAGCAGTACATGGATGTAATTGGGAAGCTAAGGCATCAAAATGTAGTGAGATTCAGAGCTTATTACTATGCCAGAGAAGAGAAGTTGCTTGTTTATGATTACATGTCTAATGGCAGCCTGCATTCCCTTCTTCATGGTAAACCTAATTCAAAATTCCATCTTTTAATAAATTTTTATATTTTTTTAGGTAATACCACCCTGAGGTATGGTCAAATTATGAAAAAACCCCTCATGTTTGGATAATTACATCTATCCTCCTCAACTGTGAATCTTCTTACACGTCCACACCTGCGGTATCAAATTCAGTGGAATCTTGAAGATTATATGGAATGTTCTCCATTTTGTACCCGGTTTATCCCATTTGAGCTCCACATTTTGAAGCAAGATGTGTTTTTTGGCTTGTAAATATCGGATTGTGGTGCATCAGAATCTGTATTTTTGCACAAAACGAGTACAAACTAGAGAAGATTTCCCGGAATCTAGATGATTATGTTGAATCTGACACCATAAGGGTGGAGGTGTAAGAAGATTCATAGTTGAGGAGGGTAGATGTAATTATCGAAACATGAGACGTTTTTTCGTAATTTGACCATAACTCAAGGGTGGTGTTGTAATTTACCTTTTTTTTCTCTTTTTTTTTAACTGTAAATTACTAAATTTGTTTGATTGAAATAGGGAACAGAGGAGGAGGGAGAATACCGTTGGATTGGACGACGAGAATAGGGTTGATTCTTGGGGCGGCGCGTGGGCTGGAGAGGATCCATCAGGAATATTCGATTTCAAGAATCCCGCACGGAAACGTGAAATCGTCGAATATTCTGCTGGATAAAAATGGGGTTGCTTGCGTTTCGGATTTCGGGCTTTCGTTGCTTCTGAGCCCGACTCACGCCATAGCTAGGTTGGGAGGGTACAGAGCTCCGGAGCAGGCTGAGACGAAGACGCTGTCGCAGAAGGCTGACGTGTACAGCTTCGGGGTTTTGTTGCTCGAGGTGCTGACGGGGAGGGCGCCGGAGGAGGCGGCGGCGGCGGTGGATCTGCCGAGATGGGTGAGGTCGGTGGTGAGGGATGAGTGGACGGCGGAGGTGTTCGACGAGGAGTTGCTGAGGTACAAGAACATAGAGGAGGAGCTGGTGGCGACGCTGCAGGTGGCGATGGCGTGTGTGGTGGAGATGCCGGAGAAGAGGCCGGAGATGGGGGAGGTGGTGAAGATGATTGAGGAGATAAGGGTGGAGCAGTCTCCGTTGGGTGAGGATTACGACGATTCCCGCGATTCGATGTCGCCGTCGCTTGCCACCACCGAAGATGCTGCTTTCTGAGTTTCTTCTGTTCGCCGGAATTTGCAATTTCTTGCTGCTGAGTTAATTTGTTTCAAGGAGAGATGTAATTTTTTTTCTATTTTTTTTTTTTTTTTGAGTTTAATAAGTGGTGAGTTTAGTAGTGTAGATTTGTGGGATCTATTTTTAGTTTGATCATATGTATAATCGATGATATTATTGTACTCTTGGATAAAAAAAATGATCTATTGTTTCTTGCCTTGTTAAATAACATCTTATTTAAATGTAGCAGTGGTATGAATTTCGTAGAACTTGTTACGAAATTATCCTGATTCCTAAATTTGTTGTAGAAGAAAGAATGATTCATAAATTCGTGTATGAGAATTAATTTCTCAAACTCAATTCATTCATAAAATTTGTATATTTTAAATGTCTTATTGGTGACCTATTTATAAGTCCCAAAACGAATATAGTTCATAATGTTAACTGTAATGAAGAAACTAATTACTAAATTATCAAAAAACAAAAAAAAATAAAAAGTAGAAGAAGAAGAAACTAATTACTAAGCAACTATAACTATGAAAGGATTCTAAAACAATGAAATATATTTTTTCTGAATTAAAACATTTAGAAATAAAATATATAACTCAAAACTTCAAGTCGACTATACGATCATCCTTGTTACCTTGTGAGCGTATAACACCTTAAGCCTAATTTATGTATGAATTTCTCTCTTCTGGAAGTAAAGATAATAACAGATCTTCTTGTTGGATTAAAATTTTGAATCATTTCAATCGCATTTCATAAGATAGAGTAATGACCCTAATTAAAAATTAGCAGAGATAAAAGAATTTCGGATGCATGAAAGTTGAAACTCGATTTGTCCTATGAATTCTGATCGGACTGATTTTGGCCTTGAGGAAAAACCCAAGTCCAATTAAGTGAAGCCCAGATGATCAGGCCCGATTTGGGCCCATGTCAAGTTCAAGGAAGCCCAATACCACAACTATCATAATAGACCGCAGATGATAATTAACGAGGTATAAAACCTACAAGATAGGCTTCCGAGGTAATCCCACGCCTGTCGAAGTAAGCATTACGTCGGCATCTCGAAAGTGGAGCAGGGGACAATTTTGGGACGTAAAGGATGGGTGGCAGGCTTGAACTGATTGAGGAACAGTGAAAAGAACCAATAAGAACTCGCCATGTGGCCGAATAGACAGGATGACGGCTTTTCTATCTTGGAAATGTAAACAAGCCCAAAAAAGCCCATATTGTAGTAGTATATATACTAGGTCATGTATAGAGAAAAAAGGGACAATTCTTGAATAACAAAGGGAATTCAATAAATTGGACCACCCACATCTATTATCTTAGGCACATTATCTTCATATGTTATTTAATAATCTTTCTCATCCACATTACTCTGTGATCTCATAAGCACTCAAGGTATGAATATTCAAACTAATGATAAGATCTAACAATCTATTGAACATAACAAAAAGCTATACAACCTATATTATTGTATGTGGCTAATTTAAGCCCCATCAAATGGCGCTGTCTGTGGGAAACATTGAGTTATAGACGTGAGTTTTAATTATTTGCTGTAATATTCTGTTTGGTTACCTCGCTTTTCTCTTTTCTGTCACTCAAGATTCAAGGTACCGATGTCAACGAGTGAAGAAGCACTACACCATAAAAGGTCATTCATAGCGTTTGAAAAACGCTATACTAGCCTATTATAGCGTTTTTGAAAACGCTATGTCTGCCGGAGCTATAATAGGTCAAGACGTTTCTATAGCGCTTTACAAACGCTATCATAGGGCTTCATGTTATAGCGTCTTTATAGTGCTATTATACGTTATTTGATAGCGTTGTTTAAATGCTATAATCCTTTTATATAGCGTTTAAGTTGTATTGTCTTTCTATTTATTTGCGCTTTATAAATGCTATGCTAGGTTATTTTATAGCACTTTTCATGTGTCATTATTACGTCTATAAAACATTTTTATATAATAACAATAAATATAAAATAACATTTGTACAAAAATCAAATTGATATATATATATATATTATGAAAAGAATATCTTCTGTCAGATAAAAAATAAATAAAGCAAAAACAAATTACATATTAAATATATCCAATTCAATACAATTCATCAAGTCACACGAATCCTAAAGTTGAACTTGGATAATTATTTAAAAAAAATGTACTTGAAGCAAAAGGAATAACCCAGAAAAATACAATACGAGCTAGCTCATTGCGTATAGTATGCTATCTCGTTTTCGAATCAACTCATCAAGTTTGGAAAATAGCTCATCAAGTTAAGTCTGCTTTATCGTCCTTGCTATCACATTTTTTACCTCCTTGTTATCTCGTTTTCCACTTTCTGGGTTTGCCCAATTCCTATTCTTATATCCCTGTAAAAACCATAAATATTAGTGAGTATTATTTGAATAATCGTTCATAAGTTATCATTAAATACCTAATTATACATCTAATGATAGGAAAAAACATCAGAAAATAAATATAAAATCACAATTGAGACGAAAATAGTACATTACTAAGTGGATCGAACTAAACGACTGGATGAAACTCTGGTATACCTCTATTCATGGACTTCTGCTGAAAAAAAAAAAGAAAAAAACTTGGACGGAAATCATCAAAAGAAGCATAAATCATTCTAAAACAACACACTTACTTCAAGACTCTCCAACCTCCTGGTAAAATTTAAATATATAAGGACAAGTAATGGAATTATAGTGTCAATATCTTAATATGACAGAACAATATTTAAGTAGGGGAATAAAAATAATCATCTACCTTTTGCCTGTCCTTTTGGATTAAAAATATTGGATCACAGAGAGACGTCCGAGAATTGTATTATAGAGAGACGTTCAAATCCACTTGTCCACTAAATAATTCTGAACTAACCAGATAATTGAAAGGACATGTTATATATATTTAATATGAAATCCAAACATTTAAAAAATATTCCACAAGAAAGCAAAATATAGCATTTCTCTTATGTTCCAATCCACAATACAAAGGATGAAAAGCACACATCAAACACACGATAATCACTTTTTTCTCCATCATATCAGGCTAAATGTAGCTATTTCTGTTATAAATAAGGAATTAACTATTTATATAGTAAGAAGGGCATCAATCGAAATGCTTAAATTTGTATGAATAACACAAATACAGTCATACAAATAGATAAATAAAGACAATTTATTGAATCACCCAAGAAAAATTCAAAATAGAAAACATCATATATATATGCTGCACAAAATATCTGCGGGAAGAACATACCTTTTTTCAGTATCAAGGAATACCTATGGAGCAAACTAAATTGCTATCAAGGAATCCAACGGAAAGAACAATCTTTACAAAGAACCAATCAAAATTCAAGAGAGATCCATGTCTGCTAAACTACAAAACAACCACTAGATTTTCTTATTCTCTTCTAACAACAAAAAAACACAAAGAAAATGATAGATGCAAATTAAAGAACAAATCAATTGAGTAGAATAAGGGGTTTTTTTTTGCCGAAAAGAAAAAAAAAAACTAAAATGAAGACAATTTTACACAAAATTAGATAAATGGTGAGTTGAGAAATACCTATCCTCAACGACGGAGGCGCCGGCTGGCCGAGCCAGGGAGAACGGAGTGTTTAAATTGATTCGCTGAATGTTTTGCTTTATGCTTCGACCGTGGAGAGAATAATTCGTGAATATATGGTTGGACACGACAAGGGCGAGACTTTCCTCAACGACGGAGGCGAGCGGCATTTTTTTGTGAGCTATGGAGGCGACATAGTATTTGATGATGGAAGCGGCTAAGATATTCGGCCGATAGAGGCAGTAGTGAGAGAATGATTTTACACTTTTTGACGGTGGATCTGACTTAAAAAACCCTCGATAATAGAGCTGTCCATATTATAGCGTTTTTACTTTCTCATTAATTAGTTAATTAATATGACAAAAACTAATAATAGCAGAACGTGCAAACACGCTATAAAACTACGCTATTAAATATTACTTTTGTTGTAGTGAAGGCTTGGACGCTCGCTGCACAACGGTGGAAGCACCGGCATCCCGACAAGAAGGCCCTACTACGCTAGTCACTCCGATGGGGCGAATGGCACCTCTGGTCGAGATACCTTCTACACCTCTCTCACTGTCCATGGAGGAGGTTCAGAGAATGGTGAATCAGGCCGTACAGCAGGATCGAGCTAGCAGAAGGATAGCTAAAATTCGCCTGCCCCGCAATATGGTTCCCAGGACCACTATTCGGGATGAAGGAACGGGTGCAAGCTCCTCCAACAACCCACTTATCCCGCATTTGAGACAACAGCGAGGTAACCCATTCTCGGCAGAAATCATGGCTTCGGATCTACCAACAGGGTTTCAGGCTTTCGAGCACCTAGCATACGATGGGACGACAGACCCTTGGGATCATATAAGTCGGTTTCAGACAACGTCTTATTTACACCGGTTCTCGGATGGGATCATGTGCCGCGCTTTCGCAACCACCACTACACCAAAATGGACATTTTCTAACGGCAAAAATTTGTGATTTCCAACGGATATATCCGTTAGTAATTACTAACGGATAATATCCGTTAGAATTAAACATATTCGTTACAATTAATAATACACTGTTTTTTCTTGAAATTGTAAAAGTTTATTAATAATTCTAACAGCAAATTTCCGTTAGTACTTTACCAAATATTATAATAACTAAATTAAATAAATTAAAATCAATTTAACCTCATATATTTTGCCGTTTCCCTTTTACCTTTCATTTCCTTCTGCACAATTTTTTTAATTCTCCATTTCCCTTCTCTTAGCCAGTACAACCTTCGATTGCTTGCCATTTTTCCTTTCAATCTTTTCCGCCGCCGCCGCCATCCCCACCGTCGCCGCCGCAAAGCTCTCCACTATTTCAGGTTTTCTCTTTCTTCCAATTGTATTCGCGTGTTAGGTTATTTTTGAAGAAAATGCCCTAAATTTTGATTTTGTTTTTAAATCTAAGTGAAGTTTAAATATATTTACGGTTCTTAATCAAATCTAGTGTCTATCGTCATATGTATTTTCGATTTCCTTCAATATCGATCTATATGGTACTGTTATTTTACCAACCTAAAAAACGCACATTGAGTATTGATACCCCTTTTGAGTTTTGATTTTTTTCATGGGTGCCTGTTTGTTTTATCGATTGCAAAATTAAAACTGACTGTTTTTTGGTGTGTTTTATGGAACTAGATGTATAACTTCATTTTTTTTTTAATATTTTGTGCGCCAGGTTTTTCCTAAGTCTGCCATAGAAGTGGAGATAAAAGGTTGGTCGGCAGAGGTTGTATGGGTTTGCTTTCAAGTGTAAGATCTCTAATATATATGGCTATATGGGTAAATGAATATATTCATTTATTTGTATTAGATTTAAGGGAGTTTGAGTTTTCTCCATCGATTGTGCAGGCGAATTATGGGCCATATCTCAAGGAGAAGGCTCGAGACATCCTCAGAACACATTATCACGTGTGAAAAGATTTGCATTGCATTGATGTTGCTCCATTAACTAGGTATACAAGGACACGAATTGAGATTTACTGCTCGCCTTTGCTTCCCTTTTAATGAATTATCTATAACAATACTTCTTTATTTCAAATTCTGTCAATTATATGCTATCGAGATTTTGATTTGGGCATTGAAAGTACGAGGGAAGATTTGATTATGGGCCTGATGTTGCTTGTAGAATAAAGATTCTTCGATTTTCGGGTCAGTTATCTCTTATGGAAACTGTTATTTACTTCGGGTTATCTTCTATAAATGTATATGCTTTAGTTTGAAATGCTATTGAAATAGACTGTTGTGCAGATTTTGTCCAACTTCGAGTTAAATTATATTGCCTTTAGATGTCTTCATCTACATTTAATATTGCTTCAAACTTGTTATATTTTGAGAGGTTTTGGTTGGATTAAGGTGGAGATGCTCTTTGCTTTATTCTTAGTAATTTCCCTTTGTATGTCTTTTTCTAGTATTTGAAAAGGTATACCCTCATTCATGAACCATGCTTCTTATTACGTAGCTTTCTTTTGTATGCTGATATCGAACATGTGATTTTTGGCTTGTGAGTTTTATGAAAGGGTACTTGTTGCGACTTGTTAACACAGCTTTATTCAAGTAATGTTTGTTTCATGAATGATGATCTACTATGAATTTCCAATTAGATACTGGATTTTAGTTCCGTTTACCTCGTTTTCTATAATTACTAATGTTATTTCACCAATACTCGTTCACCCTGTTTCAGGTACCTTGATACATCTTCCAGTTACTAGTTTGCCATTAATTTATTTTTTATTAAAAAAAATTTCACAGATAATAACAGTCATTACTATTCTAATTGATTTCTTTTTGCAATGTCAATCAGGGTATAAAGTGGAAGAGACGGAAAAAAAATTACCATGTCGAAGAAATTGAGGAAATAAGAGTTGTGGAAGTTGGGATATGGTCCTATAGAGTTAAGCAAGTAATGAGAGTTGCAAGTAATGTGGGAAAGATGGCTTTTCAACCAACTAAAACAATGCGTGAAAGAATTTTTTTTTTTATGGTAATCCAATTATTTTATTCTGCTGATAGATGTTGATGTATGAGCTACAGAAGATGTCAATTAAATTTGTTAAACTCGTTTATTTAATTTCAGTTGTATTTTTTTAATATATATATATATATATATATATATATATATATATATATATATATATATATATATATATATATATATATATATATATATATATATATATATATATATATATATATATATATATATATATATATATATATATATATATATATATATATATATATATATATATATATATATATATATATATATATATATATATATATATATATATATATATATATATATATATATATATATATATATATATATATATAATAATAATATTACCATTTTCTTGAAAATGGTAATATTTTTTTTTATTAATTTGTCATAAAAATTCTAACAGCTATATCCGTTAGGAATTTTGCTAGAGCCATTACAAATTATAACCGTTAGAGTTACATTTCTAATGGATACAAGCGTTAGAAATATTTATTTTTCTAACAGATGTTTTAATTTTCCTAACGGTTTATATACGTTAGAAATTTTGAACCTCAAATTTCTAACGCAGTATTTCTAACGGTTTTTCGCCATTACATATAATTTTCCTAACGGATATATCTGTTGGGAAATAGCTTTTTTGGTGTAGTGCACACTGCGGGATGCAGCCCAGTTGTGGTTTGGACAGCTGGCGGAAGGGTCAGTGCGAGACTTCGAAACTTTCAGTGCCATGTGGTTGGACCACTTCGCCAGTTCTAAAAAGCAGAAGAAGTCGGCTCTCACCCTCTTCGGTGTTCGGCAGGGGGAGTAGGAGCCTTTGAGGAACTTTGTGCGTCGTTTCACAAATGCTAGCCGAGAGGTGCCGGGCCTTTCACAGGATGTGCTTACTAATGTCCTCATGCAGAGGTTAAGGGATGGAGAATTGTTTAGGTCATTGGCTAAGCGGGCGCCGTCGACGTATGACGAGCTTTTAAAGCGGGCCGATAAATACATCGCAATGGAGGAGGCGAGGAAAATGAAGGAAGAAGAAACCGCGGTGGTTCCTGCCCACGATACCCCGGTAAAGAGCCCATCGCGGGGAAAGGATTTACATAGACAGCGGCGTCATCCCGTAGCTCGCGAAATCCCAGTCCCTGAGCATCGAAAACCTCGATACAGGAGCTATGCCGTCCTTAATAAGTGGCCAACCCAGGTTTTGATGGCGGTAGAAGGGGGGTCGGATATTCGTTGGCCAACCACATATCAGAAGACCCCGCCGCAAGGCTCTAGCGACGACGGTTATTGTCGATACCACAATCGGTACGGCCATCGTACCAACGAATGTGGTCATCTGAAGGACGAGCTAGAGAGGTTAGCTCGGCAGAGCCAGATAGATCAGTTCGTTAAAACGCAGGCGGGAAACCACACCACTAGTAGGCGTGACCATCAACCCCGACCCTTGGTGGAACCAAGGAATCGCATCAAGATGATCCTGGGAGGACCTACAAGTGGGGACTCACACAGGGCGGGAAAGAAGTATGTCAGGTCGGGAAAAGGGGCCTTTTAAGGAGAATGGATTCATCAAGTGCAGGAGAGCTCGCCAACCATTTCTTTCGGTGAGAATGTGATAAGGGACGTCAAATTGGATTCGAGTTGCAAAATAACTATTTAATTCGGAGAAGAGTTATTAATGGGCATTGGTGGAAATATCGAAAGAAATTATGGAGGAGGATGAGAAGAATGTTGATGGATCGATTTTTACCCTTAGGTTATGATCAACGTCTATTTCAACTATATCGTAATTGTTCGCAAGGGAGTAGATATGTTAACAAGTATACTACTGAGTTTGAGAGACTAGCAAACTTAAATAACCTGCAAGAATCCGAAAGTACGGAAATTTCACGGTACTTGGCAGGTTTGAATATTTCAATACGTCTTAGGATGGGGTGGCGTATATTCTACACCCTTGAAGAGGCTCAAGAGTCAGCATGGAGGTCGGAATATTATGAGCGAAATAGTGCTTCTAGAAAAATCGAAGATGTTCCATCCGTTGTCAAAGTTAAGGAGGACCTACAAGTGGGGACTCACATTGGGCGGGAAAGAAGTATGTCAGGTCGGGAAAAGGGGCCTTTTAAGGAGAATGGATTCATCAAGTGCAGGAGAGCTCGCCAACCATTTCTTTCGGTGAGAATGTGATAAGGGACGTCAAATTGGATTCGAGTTGCAAAATAACTATTTAATTCGGAGAAAAGTTATTAATGGGCATTGATGGAAATATCGAAAGAAATTATGGAAAAGTAAGGGTTTTCGAAAAACTCAAATTGTATTTGAGTACGAAACGAACTCTATCTCAAGTGAAACGGCGCAAGGAACAAAACTCATGAGCAAAGCTCATGAATCACGTCAAATTTCAGCAATCCAACGTCGTTTAGACTCCCAAAAGTTCGTTTTTGCTATTTTAGGTATGTTTTAGAAAATTAATATCAAATCATAGATAAATCGGATTAGGATTCCGTACATTGGGTTGTTCCCAAAATTACGAGATCTACTAGAATCAGACTCTAACTCGTTTTTGCCGTTTTTGGTAATTTTTAGTATTTTCTTATTTTAATTAGGGTTTTCAGTTTTTTAGTATAAATAGCTGCCTTAGGACTTTATTTTAGAAGATTTTCGAATTTTAATAAAATATTTAGAGTTTTCTCTATTGTTCTGGTGGATTCCAGAGTTTTTCGGTGGATTCCGAATGTTATTTTGTTCTATAGGATTAATTCGTAGAAATTAATTCTTTACGTGTGCTTCCGTTCTGCGTCAGAATGACAAGAGAGGGATAGTTCGCCCACACCAAGACGCTTTGGTGATAACCGCGCACCTAGCAGGATACGAGGTATCTAGGATTTTTGTGGACAATGATAGCTCGGTGGATATCCTGTACAAAGAATGTCTAGACGAGATGCGTCTAGGAGAGTTAAACGTTAGCCCGGTGAAAACACCGGTCTATGGGTTTTCGGGCGAGGAAGAGGTGGCCATTGGCGAGGTTTCTTTACAGATAACTTTGGGGACATCACCTCTAACACAAAATCACACAATACGTTTCCTGGTGATGGATACCCTATCAATACAATGTAATATTGCGGAGGCCGACCCTAAACAAATTTGAGCCTATCCCGTCAACAGTACACATGAAGTTGAAATTCCCTGTGGGAAGGGAGGTAGGCGAGGTAAGAGGTGATCAGGAGGACTCAAGGCGTTGCTATGCCGATGGAGTACGAGTAGCCAGCAGAAAGCGAGGAGAGATAGTACATTCACTGCATGAAGCACATACAACGGTGGACACTGATATTAAGAAGCCTCGGGTGACTCCGATGGAAGAATTATTGACGATAGAGCTACGGCCTCAAACGCCAGGACATACCATTCGGATCGGTAGCGAGATGAGTAAGGAAGTATGTCGGGAACTGATAGCATTTTTACAAGAGAATCACGATGTATTCTCTTGGGGCCCGGAGGATTTGAAGGGCATCGACCCCAAGTTTGTTCAACATCAGCTAAATATTCGGACCGATACCACGCCAATAAAGCAGAAGAGACGGCATTTCGGAGCCGAGAAAGACGGGATAATAGTTGCGGAAGTAGAGCGACTTCTATAGGCGGGACACGTCAAGGAGATCCAATTTCCTAATTGGTTGTCCAATGCCGTGCTGGTAAAGAAAGCCGAGGGAAAGTGGCGAATGTGCATAGTTTTTAGAGATATCAGTAAGGCATGTCCCAAAGATCATTATCCTTTGCCAAGGATCGATCAGTTGGTAGACTCCACGGCAGGGTATGAATTAATAAGTATGATGAATGCTTCGCAAGGGTATCATCAGATCATATGCTCCATCCGGATGATCCTAAAAATGTCAGTTTCGTCACGGCGGCGGGCACATTTTGTTACGTCGTCATGCCGTTTGGGTTGAAGAATGCCGGGGCAACATATCAATGGCTGGTGGATACCATGTTCCGAAGTCAGCTGGGAAGGAATATGGAAGTATATGTTGACGACATGCTGGTAAAGAGTAAGGATGCGAGAACTCACATCGAGGACTTGAGAGAGACCTTCGCCAAGTTACGGCACTACGGAATGAAGCTCAACCCGGCGAAGTGTTCTTTTGGGGTGCGATCGGGAAATTTTTTGGGGTATATGGTGACCGAGCGTGGTATCGAGGTGAATCCAGAGAAGGTGCAGGTTGTGTTGGGTATGAGATCCCCGAGGACGGTCAAGGAGGTTCAGGTTTTCACGGGAAGAATGGCGGCATTGGGGAGATTTATCTCGGGGTCAGCAGCAAGAAGCTTACCTTTCTTTGAAGTATTAAAAAAGAATTAATCCTTTGTGTGGACGGCGGAATGTCAGCTCGCATTCGATCAATTGAAGGCATACCTCGTTCAAGTCCCCCTTCTAGCAAAGCCAATAAAGAATGAATCTCTTCTCTTATATGTCGCGGCAGGGCATGGAGTAGTTAGCTCGGTATTGGTACGGGATGAGCAACACAATCAGTTCCTAGTTTATTTCATTAGTAAAGTTTTGCAGGGCGCAGAACAAAGGTATTCTCTTATACAGAAAATCGCCTACGCAGTAATTATATCAGCCCGGAAGTTGAAGCCTTATTTCTTGTCACATACCATCATAGTAAGGACTAATCACCATCTGAAGCAGATATTGAGCAACCCCGAGGTATCAGGCAGAATGGAGAAATGAGCGGTAGAGTTGGGACAGTATGATGTGGAATTCGAACCTCGTGTTGCTATAAAAGGGCAAGTGCTGGCGGATTTCATCCAAGAAACTACGCCGGGGTGTGGCGAGGTAGAAGGCGAGGTATGGGAGGCTCACGTGGACGGTTCGTCCACTATTGGAGGTTTCGGGGTAGGAATTGTATTAACTAGCGCAAAGGCGAGGTATCCGAATATGCTGTGAGGTTGGCATTTCGGGCATCCAATAATGAAGCAGAGTACGAGGCAATCAAAGAGGGGCTTAGGCTGCCCCGGGCTAGGGGAGTGAGATTCATCAGAGTATTTTCGGACTCTCAATTGATCGTTCAGCATATCAAGGGGGCCTTCGACGTAAATGACGAACGAATGGGCCGATACGTGGCTCAGATTTCCGAGCTTATGGCTCAATTTGATCATTGCGAGGTAACTCAGATCCCTCAGGAGGAGAATCGCCGGGCGGATTTCTTGGCAAGGATGGCTAGTTCGGCAGCGGGGGTAGGGGAGCGATCTATATCGTTAAGAGTGGAGCCGGAATGCGATGGCAAGGCCGAAGTCTTGAGCATAGAAGTGAAGGATTGGAGGCAGCCATTATTGGCGTGTCTACGAGGTGGAAAAGTGTCCGGTAGAAAAGAGCAGGACAAAGTAGCTGTGCGAGCACGATACTTCGTGGAGATTGGGGCGGAGTTGTATGAAAGATCATTTGTCTCGGATCCGTTGAAATGCCTCGGCGAGGAGGAGGTTGAATATGCAATGATGGAGATGCATGAGGGGTGTTGTGGCAATCATACTGGCGCCAAGAGCTTGGCAGGCGACTTTTACAAGCGGGATATTTCTGGCCATCAATGAAAAAAGACTCGGGGGATTTTGTTAAACGTTGCTCCAAATGCCAAAGGCATGCTCCGCTGATCCACATGCCGGCCGAGGAGTTGGGTATCATGACATCGCCCTGCCCTTTTTCCCAATGGGGAATTGATATCGTCGGTCCTTTCCCGATGGCTTCCGGCCGACGTAAGTTTCTAATCGTGGCAGTTGATTATTTTTCTAAATGGGCCGAGGCTGAGTCGGTCACCTCGATCACCGAGGCTAGTGTTTTGAAATTTCTATGGGAAAATATATGTTGCCGGTATGGAATTCCTCGTATACTCATCTCGGACAATGGAACGCAATTTAACGGCTCTAAGGTACAAGCGTGGTGTGCCGAGATGGGGGTCCAACAGCGTTTTTGTTCGGTAGCACACCCACAAGCTAATGGACAAGTGGAGGTAACTAATCGGATAATAGTATCAGGCATAAAGAAGAGATTGGAAGAGGCCAAGGGGGCCTGGACGGAAGAGCTTGCATCGGTATTATGGGCATACCGAACTACTTTTAAGTCAGCTACGGGGGAATCTCCGTTCTCACTCGTGTACGGAATGGAGGCAGTGTTGCCTATCGAGGTACGAATACCTAGTCGAATGCCCAATCCTTCAACCCGGAGCAGAATGGGCCCTTAATCCGGGAAAGTTTGGATATGATCATGGAAAAGAGAGAGGTAGCAGCAAGGCGCATGGATAGAGCTAAAACGGCGATAAAGGCGGCATATGATAAGAGAGTCCGAGGACGTAGGTTTGAGGTAGGCGACATGGTATTGCGACGAGCTGATGCTCTGAAGATGCGAGGTAAACTCGAGGAAAATTGGGAAGGACCATACAAGATAATGCAGCGACTAAATGGGGGTGCATATTGGATTGAAGACAAGAACGGTAAAAAGTTACCTCGGCCATGGAACGTGTGTCATTTGAAGAAGTTCCATTCTTGAAGGGCGGTTGTTTACTAGTTTTA